GTCGGGGTGGATGGTGGGCACACAAAACACTGGAGACAGCAGCAGCAGACACAAGGTTTCACATCTAGACCTGGAAATATTGTCCAATTATCATTCTATGTGCAGTAACACAAATGTTAGTACTATTATTATTACATTTATATACACTTATAAGAGCAAGCATGTATATTTATTTTATTTTGATTTTATTTCCATATTAATACTTTTGATTTTATTATGTATCTTTACTTCTTTAAGACTTTGATTGGGAGCATCTACAACTAAAAGCAGTTTCCCCGAGGGCAGGGGTGTCCAATCCTGGTCCTCGAAGGCCACAGTCCTGCATGTTTTAGATGTCTCCCTCTTCCAACACACCTGATTCAAATGATCCGGATCGTTATCAGGCTTCTGCAGAGCTTGATGATGAGCTGATCATTTGAATCAGGTGAGAGAGAAGCATCTAAAACGTGCAGGATTGTGGCCCTCGAGGACCAGGATTGGACACCCCTGCCCTAGGGGATCAATAAAGTATTTCTGATTCTGATAACCAAGATCAGGTATCAAAAGCCCTTTGGTTAAGGTTAGAGAAAAATGGTTCAATAGAAATGAATATATTGTGTCTTATTGTGGACCATCATCTTAACTAAGTGTTGCCAGTGACTAAACACAGGCTTACAAAATTGAATTAACAAAAATGTTCTCGTGACACTGGAGATATTATTCCTAGTGGGTTTAGTCTTTGTTCTTTTGTTTTAAGGAGAGAAGGCTGCAAATAGTCAGAAAGGCTTTGATATTGACAGTAACTATAATTACCGATGAGGTAGTTGTAGATTTTGGACTTGTTGACTCATGGTGCTATTCTGTGATTCGGGTCCCAGGAGCTTCTCTTGTCATCTGTGGAGCATTTATTATATACAGAACCTTTCAGCCTCTGTATGACTCAGTCTGCCATACAGCTGTAGCTGTTGCTTGGAGCCGGATTTACTGCCGGGTCCACAAGATGAGCATCGCTATTTATGTTGCTCGTCTTACTGTGTGCTGTATATTAGGATCTGCTCAACAGTTTAATGGCATTGCTCTCTGAGGTTTTAAGTGACACTCAATGTAGCATCCTGTGAGACTGAGGAGTGAGGATCTGAAACAGAAACATGAAGCTGTAAAATACATCTAGTATAAACCCTACAACTGTTACACAGATGTAGAGGAGAAAAAGGACATTTCACAGGTAAATTTTAGTCCATTTTATATAAGTTGGTTCCTGCCAGTCAGTTCCAAAACGGCGACAGTGCGTGCAGTACTTAATACTACATTAATACTGATACAATAGTAATTTTATTTCCTAATGAAGAACTGGCAGCAGCACCTTTTTTTGACTGCCTCCCAAATATGGCAGCCTGAACAAATTTTTCTTTGTTCCTCTGGTAGGATAAAAGACAAACCACTAGACGCAAAGATAATATTGAATCGGAAGCCACATCAAACTTTCCCCCAGAGTTAAAAAATGAACTCAGAAAGCAAATCTGTAGGAATTTCATGGGATGGATCGTCGCTGTAGATGGTTTTAAGGTTGTCGGTTTGAACTGTCTGCCAGAACATCTGACGTCACCAGTGAGAAGTATTCTTGTCGAAGTCCTAACAGGAACTAACCAAGATTTGTAAAGCATGATAGCACTGAGATTACATGGATGAGGTTACAGTTGTTATTTCCTGACAATTAAACTGATTTTGCCAATAGGTGGCATTCTTACAGAGGATAGATGTTTCTGAACTGCGTCTGCTTTTTATGTCTCTAATGTGTGTTTTAATCAATATTTAAAAATAACATGTATTGTTGCATCTACACTCATCTATAAATAAATAATCCTTACAGGATGTTGTCCACAGCTAAATGAAAAGCTTCTTGTTCAGTCTGTTCAATCCCTGAAGGTAGCAGGACACACGTGCGAGCACAGTGTCATTACGCACAACCATCCAATGGACTGGAATGTCATTAAATCACATCCAAATGCCATCATGGCTGCTACAGAGTAACCACACACACACACTGCTTCACACATCAGTCTGTTATGGTGGAGCAGTTTGCAGCCCCCTTTCAAAAAAAATGAAACAAGAACCTGCAGTTTGTGGTTAATTATTTGAATGCAATGCAAAGCAGATGTGCTGTGTGGCATTTTAAGATATGATACAGAGTGAAATACAGTAAAATTATGCCTCACATAGCACTGGACTGGTGTGATTATGTCTGCATCTCGAAGCAATTTTTTTTATCATTCCTTTTGTCATTGAGGGCTGCACGGTGGAGCGGTGGTTAGCACCGTCACCTCACAGCTAGAAGATCCTCGGTTAGGACACCTGGGATCTTTCTGTGTGGAGTTTGCATGTCCTCTCTGTATTCTCTGGCTTCCTCCCAAAGTCCAAGAACATGCTGAGGTTAATTGGTGATTCTCGTCGCCCTGTGATAGACTGGTGACCTGTCCAGGGTGTCCCCTGCCTTCACCCTGAGTCAGCTGAGATAGGCTCCACCCCCCACGACCCTAGTGAAGATTAAGCGGTGTATAGATATTGAACGGACGGATTTATTTCTGTCATTGTGGGCTGCACGGTGACTCAGTTGTTAGCATCATTGCCTTACAGCTAGAAGATCCCCGGTTAGGACGCCTGGGATCTTTTGTGTGGAGTTTGCATGTTCTCCCCGTGCAGCGTGGGTTCTCTCCAGCTTCCTCCCACAGTCCAGAAACATGTTGAGGTTAATTGGAGATTCTAAATTGTCCATAGATGTGAATGTGAGTGTGCTTCTTTGTCTCTCTGTGTAGCCCTGTGATAGACTGGCGACCTGTTCAGGGTGTCCTGAGTCGCCTGGGATAGACTCCAGCTTTCCCGCGATCCCAGTCAGGCGGTGTATAGATAATAGACGGATGGATTTCTGTCATATTACTGGTTAACTGTTGATAAAAATATGTCATCTGTCTCTGACGTCAGATTTGTAGCATTGTGCGTTCATGTGGTGGCGCTCTGCACCAACTGTCTGTGGAGCTGTTCTTTCTTTTGTGGAGCCGTTATGTGAGTCAGCAGTGTGATTGGCTGATCTATTAACCAGCACGTACTGTAATTTATATTCACTTTCTGTCCATGTTTTTGCACTTTGCGCTGTTGCACATACCAGAATGGCGGGTATGCAAGGCCACACCCACACAGAGCTAGATACTGGATCAAGGGGTTATGAACGTTTGCAACAAAGAGAAAGGTGCTTTATCCCAGAGTGTTGAGATATTTCAGACTTGCCCTTCAAATATCAGCTGACTGGTTGCGTGGTTCATGTTTCATTCTTCTTATTTAACCATTGGGTGGTTGGGTGCTGTGGTCCGACCTGGCAGACTGGAACTGACTTCAACTCAGATGTATTCACTGCATCGTCTTCACTACTTCCTCTGCTCTAAAAGTCCAAATGGAGCATTTCTCTTTATTCCCAAAGATGTGCTGCATGTCCTTCATTTGGCTCTTAGCAAACTGCATGCAGTAGATTTTTTTTTTTCAATCCAAGAACAGGCTTTCTGCACACATAACCAGCTATTTCTGTGCTTTGTGTCCTCAGTCTAGCCCGCTAACAACTACCTCTTCCACCAGAATGTGAATCCTCTGTCCTGGGTTTAGAGCATGAAAATATGCTGAATACACCTTCTCATTGTC